CTGTCATGCAAACTTCAATAAGTCTTTTACAATAGAGGATTGAAAGTATATGTATCACTTGTAGTAAATACAATTGCAATCTTTGAATGATACTTCACTGATCATTAATTTTGCATGTGATTTGCAAAGTGTTATTTTACAGACCTTAGTACAAAACTTTGATTATCAATTCAATGGTTTGTTGTCACTTTATTTCCTGCTGTAATTGTTTAGAATATTGATAGTTGTCATCTCTGACCCTCTGAACCTGTCCTCAACTTACACCAAGAAATTTTCTTTTCTGGACCCGAATAAAACTTCCAACATTTTGACAATGGATATTGTCTTTTGTTGCCTTTCTTTCTGTTTGAAGACATTTTTCTATTTGAGGGCGGTGGGGTTAAAGCGTCCGCTCGTCATGCCGAAGACCAGGGTTCGATTCCCCATGTGGATACAATGTGTAAAGCCAATTTCTGTTGTGCCCCACCATGATATTGCCGGAATATTGATAAAAAACACACACCCTCACTCACTCTATTTCATGGTATGATTACACATTGATGGCATTGGGTGCATCTAATGATTTTGGTTCTATTTGAAGACATTATTTTTTATTGATGGACATTGTTTGGGTTACAGATTCGCCACTGGAAGAGGAACCAGAAGGAGACAAGCCTCCGTGAGGTGTTTATCCCGGACCGTACAGAAGCTAACAGTAAACAGATGTTGAGACGTACAGGAAACAAAGTCTGGGTTGACGTCCACAGTTTGCCGCCTTACTCTCATATTGAGGCCGATGTAGTGGTTGTCAACACCTACTTCAGCTCTGAAGGCAGCAACATCCTCCGCTTCTCAACAGCAGAAGGAGGTAATCAATGTACAACCTACTTCGTATGTTTATTCTTTGAATAGTGTTCGAAAATGTTATTTATTATCTGAATAAGAAAGGAACTATATCCAAAACAAAAGTACCAAAAGCTCTTTTCAGGTATTACAGTGACCTTTCTGAAACAAACACATTACTTAGCATATTTCTATTCTATTACAGTGCCCCTTCAGTAGAGGACGTAAATATAACTTACCGAGGCTCAGAAGACATCGAGCTGGAGTGGGGACAACCTGGGAACCAAACGGTATCGTCATTGGCTACCAGGTCGGCTACATGAAGGGTTCGTTATCGGCATCAATACCTTCTCCTTTCATCTCTCTTCGCTTCTTCGCCACTCTCAGTGAAAACAACCCTTTTGCTTCAGGATGTAAATGTGCATGAATCTTGCAGGGTTCGACACTAAAGGTACTACTTACTAAGTCAAGGTCACACAAAGACTCACGAGCTCTGATTCGTGATTAGCACATACACTCAGGTTTGAATAACGTTTGATGATCGATCTTTTCAGTGTGGATTGACGTTTTGTTCTCGAACCCTACAGTGTATTGGTTTTGAGCAACTTTGAAAGACTTTCTTTTGAAAAGGTGACTTCATGAACTTCTTTGTTCCAGGGAGCGTTTAGCAATTTCATACACATAAAATTTAGGTCCCAGGTTTCACCCTTATTTTCAGAACCACAGTTTTAAAGTATGTGCTATTCTGTACATCTATTGTGTTTCTTAATGGTGTGAAATATTGACAATGCATGTATAGCGAATATCTCGATTCTGAGTTTATGAGTTTCGATATGGAATCATATTAATTAGTGTGAAAGTGTGAAAGACTTGAATTTCTGAGTTTGAGAAAACTGATAATTTCACTGCAATGACAGAAATTTGATTTTTTCATCAGAGTGAAAATATCGCTTTACCTGAACTACCTCATGGCTCAACATAGTTTTCCGTGCTGTATCTTGTTACATATCGCAATATATAGCAATGTACACAGATGCATTTCACCAAATGCATTTGGTCAGCAAGCTTTAGGCTTCGGTTTAGATATGACAAGACTTTATGGATGATCATTCTTTATTTTGACAATGGCGACGTTCCGGTATAGGTTCTTGTAGCGTTTTCAAGCATATGGTATAAGAATCTATACAGAAACGTCGCCATTGTCAAAATAATGAAGATGATCATCCATAAAGTGTTGTCATCTCTATACCACCAACTTCTAGAATGCCACTCAAACAAATGGGCTTTGGTTCTCCAATCTCTTGCGAAGAAAACACGCACCGATCAGCCAATCGCCAATTCATTCAGTTCATGAGTCTATGTCTCATTTCGTGCAAGTTTAGCTCTGTTGAAAAAAACATAAGTTGCGTGCTGGCATCGTTTAACACAGACAGTTGAAGTACAAGTGACCTTTCACTCGACTGGCAACAATCATTACCTGTATTTATGCTCATTGACACAGTAAATAGTTGATTTCTTTCTCAATCGCACTCTTCCCTTTCTCTCGGTCAGCCGTGTTTTTTTGTGGTTCTTATGTATTCTTGCGCTAGCACCGACTTTTGACATTTACGCTAAAACAAAAGGATCGTTTGATGGATATTGTTGTAAGTGCTGATCTAATTCAAACAATGACAATAAGTAAAAGGATTGATCCAGATATGTGTTTTCTCGATTGTTACTCTATTTTCTTAACAAAGAAGTGAACAGTCTTTAGTTTACCGTTTGCAGAATTAGGATTTCGTTAATCAAATTTCCTCGGAATAATTGTTAGTGTTTAAATTCAATTAAACAAAATTGGAAGCATATAATATATAGAATACATCATATTTCACCAGACACATGAAATATCGTCTATTGTGCTTGTTAATGGCATCAAATATGGATGCATGTACTTATGTATGGCGATTATATGGAATTTTAGAGGCAGTATTGTTTTTGTTTGGAATCATATATCATAATGTGTTGTTTCAGATGAAGGTCTTGAGTTTGGTGATCTGGAGATCAGTGAGATTGTTACAGAGAGGCGCATGTGGCTTGGAGGTCTGACCCCCGACACTGTGTACCGTGTGTACGTGTGGGGCATGACACGTGTTGGGCGGGGTGAGGAGTTCTTCATTGACATTCGCACGGCTGAAGAAACGCCAGGTAGGCTTAACCACCAGCATCCTTTTGTGAAACCTCATACACGTAAGTCAATAGTAATAAAAGTTGGAAATGAAGTAAAAAAATTGACAGTGTTTCACGACTTACCTGAACAATTACGGGTTGATCTACAAGATCAGAGAGTGAGACGTGACCGGATGCAATTGACTAAACAGAAAACCCGAATCTATTCTGATAAACCCCTTAACAAGTACAATTTTGAGAAAGAGTGTGTGTGTGTGCACACGATCCACCTATTGTATGTATTTCAATAGGTTTTCTCGGCAGTGAAGTACAAATGTGTTCTGTACCTAAGTCTGATAAAGCTTTTGTCAATCATCACATAGCAACTGTTACATTCATTCACAGGCGAATAATTAATTTCGGACATGGTAGGTCTAGTCATAGATGACATAGTACCAACTCTCACCACCGTTAATGTAACGTGGCTTGTTCCTGACGCTTGGGGGCTTAAAGAGGTGGCTAACTATTACTTGGAATATCGCAAACTTGGAAAGGTTGGATGGGACCGTGTAACGGTAGAACAGGAAAATCTTTGGCAAGAAATGAAAGGGCTGGAGGCAGGCACATCCTACCAAGTCCGTGTGTGGACAGCAGCAGGGCAGACTGGCACACCATCATGTAGAAAACTATACAGCGACACCAGGACATTTAGAACGATTTCTGAAGGTAAGGAGAACTATTGTCAGGTTCCATAGAATATATACTCACTGTTGGTGACATGATAAGCATCAGGAACATTCCAAGTAAAACCTTTTGATAATTGCTATAGATGTAAATAGGCCTGTGCGCAGAAATACTGTCAGCCATCTTAACCCTACGCAGATTGTTATACTGTAACGAAAGCTGAATTAATATATCAACCCGTATCTGAACCCGTGTTCTGACATATGCGAACAGACATAGACATGATGTGACATAGACGTGATCTGACATATAAGTGACCATTGCCTACACCTATCAAGTCTTAGTTGTAACTCACCCATCAGTAACCAGCTTGTATAGTTCAGCTGAAAGCAATCATTTGGGACACAGTAAAGTCGGAGCTTGTGACTTCACCGCCTGTCCCAAACAGGAAGAGTGAGTGAATATGGTTTTACGCCGCTTTTAGCAATATTCCAGCAATATCGCGGCGTCTGATACCAGAAATGGGGTTCACACACTGTTCCCATGTGGGGAATCGGCGTAACGAGCGAACCCTTTAACCACTAGACTACCCCACCGCCCCTAAACAGGAAGAGGAAATGAATTATCTCCGAGACGACGGGGCCAACCGAGCCCACGCTGCTCAATAAATAGCAGATAATCCACATGTGCCCCTAGTCACTTAGGAGATAAACATCATGTGTTGGTCAATTTCCGGGTGTTATTGAGTATTTGAAGCACGGGAATTCATTTGGAACCGACGGCGTCAGCCAGAGGTTTCAAATGAAATATTCCCGTGCTTACAATGGTGTGAGCGATGTTTGTACGTGTTAATACGCCGCGAATTTCCGGGAATCGAACACCATTCGATCATGATTTTCAACCAATCAGATTAAAGAGCACAGGGACTTTTCGTTTACAATCTTGCTTGGCGAGATTCATTTTTTGCTAAAACATTGAACTAACCGATTATACAGCTAACCCTTACATCTAAGTTGATCTATCTATATGATCTATCTTTACAAAATAGTGGTCGCGTGACCGTATTCGAACGTTCTTTGGTTAGACATAAAGTAACACAAAAGTATTTCAGATAACTTTTTCCAACAATTTCACCAAGCATTGGGTCCACAGTGGGAACTTCGTGAGTAACGTGTTTCACATTGAAATTCATTCTGTTGTTTTATTCTTTCAGCCTTTCTTTTGTTGACCCAAGGGAAGAAAATCAGGCGAGTCGACATCGCGTCCACATCTACCAATCTGGTCAGATTCACCACGAAAAAACTCAAAATAAGGAGTCCGGCGTCCTTGACCTTCAACATTCGGAAGAATACTGTGTTCTTTTCGGACAAAAGAACAAAAAGCATAAACATGTACTTAAAATATTCGTTGCTATGGGAAATGACACAAGGGTATAATGTTTGTTAGTTATCGAGTCTAGGCCAGACGATCCGGTGATGAAATCATGATCATCGATCGACGTAACTGGGATACGTTGACATTCATGGTTCGGGCAACCCGACCCCGACTGACGATATGCCGTTATAAATAATACTTCAGTCGAAGTTGAAGGGACCCACGTAAAATAATTAATCGCAAATAGTTAACCGCAAAGTGATGGTTAAAAAAGAACACACAGAGAAAAACTCTTTACTTGGACACATCAAGCTTCGACACAACGGTGTTTGACTGTGTATAAGTATACAACATGCATGTTTCTATGCGTAATAGCAAACTGTAAAGGCCTTTTAAGTTCTACTTGAATGTATATCTTTAAAACATCGTTGAAAGTTATAAGATGAATGAATGCTCGACGATGACGCCTGTCTGATGTTGTTGAGTTTCTGAGTGAGTGAGTTTAGTTTTACGTCGCTTCTAGCATTACTCCAGCAATATCACGGTGGGAGACATCGGAAATGGGCTTCACATATTGTACCCATGTGGGGAATCGAAACCCGGGTCTTCGGAGTGACGAGCGAACGCTTTAACCTTTAGGCTACCCCACCGCTCCTGTTGAGTTACTGAAATTCACATATAATTACATGTTCTCTAGGGCAACAATAGAAGGATTTCAGCTCCATTCAGCAGTTCGGATCTATCAGGATTCCAACTCCTCCATATTTGGCATAGCTTACGACTGGGTACACGAAGCACTCTACTGGACTGACGGCCGACGGAAATCCATAAGGGTCATGACCTTGACCCGAGAGGACCGGAAGTATATCACAACGGTTGTTGACGGCATGGGTAAACCACGAGCAATAGCGCTTGACATTCAGCAAAGGTAGGGTTTAAAAATCCTATAAGAAAGTAATTTATTTTCATCGAACCAAAACCCACTTGAGCTTATTTCAACATCTTTGTGAAACATGCTAAAATCAAAAGCATTGCTTGTATCAACTTATTTCTCTTCTGTAGTCAATTCGGTTAAAGATGTAGTTCTTTCGGTTGTAATATGTAATTTTCATCGGATCGAGATTGGTTTTTCGTTGGCATTTTGCATTTTAATTTACCAATTAATCCGACCATAACACCAGATATGCTAATTGATGTTCTCTTATGTGTCAGTGTAGACGTACAGGTAATTTGGTTTGCACTTCTGTTAATGAGTGAGTGAGTGAGTGAACCCGGGTCTTCGGCGTGACGAGGGAACGCTTTAACCACTAGGCTACCCCGCCGCCCCTTCTCTTCATATCTGGCGTTCGATCTGAATGTGATTAATGTAAATATAGTGAAACTGTCTAAATAAAATGTCGGTTTAGATAGGGTGCAGCATTAGACAGTGACGATCATTTTCCAACATGGCTGCCATTTACACTCGTCTTCATTATTTTATGCCGGCTTTGACAGTGTGCCGGATTATACAGGTGCCGGTGTTGGCAGGTTTCACTGTATACTTCTTAACAAAGTTTTAAAAAACACCGATTCTATCAATTTTAGTTAATATGTCAGCAATATAAACGAACCGGATGTTCTTTGGCCTCTTTGGAGTGCTCTAGTGTGAAGATTGTTATTCGCATGCATTTCACTGATTTAGATAGTTTGAACTGAATGACATTTTGTATAACATAAGACATGTGGCAACTATTGAAATCAAGGCTTTGTTGGTGTGTAGTGAACACATCCCTCCTGCTCTGGAAACTTTGCAATGGCATCCCGTCTTCTCTCGAAATATTTTCAAGATCTGTATTATCACCCATGACTGCCTCAACGATGATACAACTACCCTTGATACCTTAAGGACTTGATCTCCCTGTGTTCTACTAAACGTGCACTTCGATCCAACAGCGGAGCTATACTCAATCAGGTTCTGCCTGAACGTGCCTCCTCAGTTTCTAGTCCCCAGTTATGGAACTCTCTACCATCTGAACTAAGAAACATCAAGCCCAAAGACCTTTTCAAGTCTTTACTTAAAACCCACCTCTTCAACTCAGCACAACTTCAGGATTGTGTGTATATGTGTGCATGGATTTGGTTTTAACCTTGTCATAGCACTTTAGAAATCAATTATTATTCTTGTTGTTATAATCAGATACTTGTACTGGACTGACCGGAAGAAACCAGCCATGATTGGGCGATGTGGCATGGATGGAACCAATGTCAGCAGCATCATTAACTCCGATATAACATGGCCTGAAGGTCTTACTATAGGTAAGAGGCACAGTGAAGACACAGGGGTCAGCTCCTTACATGGACTGGCATCTTTGGTATTAGGATTGTGGTATAAGAGGGAAAAGCTAACACAAAAGTGCCACGGTTCTATTTTAATCACTTCACATTGACAATGACCCTTTTGAAGATATATGTGTACTGGCGTGAGATTGACAAATTAGTTGAGAATACTGATACTGAAGAACGTACCAAGAACAAACATAAGGCATGGAAGACTCCCAAACACTGCAGCCTTCTTCTCCAGCGTTCTTCAAACATAACTGAAAACCCGGGGATGAGGAGAATGTAGGAAAAGAGTGATAAGAAGAAACGTCATAGCTTTGGGTAGGAAAATATGTCATAGGAAAAAAGTCATAAACTAAAACAAAATTCAGTATTGATAATGTATATTTTCAACAAGTCACAACAATATTATCTTCAATAGCACTACATAAATTTCTCTGAACCACATCTGAACCTACATTAATGTATTTATTCCAGTAATACATGACATCATAAAATGAACAGATCACAACACTATCATCTGCAATAGCACTACATCAATTTTATTTAGCCGAATTTTCCATCCAATACCGTGAAGAGTCTAGTCACCGTCTTTCGATGGAAGCATGGCGCGAACTTTAGGGCTGCAGATTTTCTTCTTCTTTGAGAAATGCTTTGCGTACAAGTAGCCTTTGCGTACAAGTAGTCTTCATAACTGACTGTTAAACCTCCCTTACGTGTGGTCAGTAACGCCATCTTGGATGACCGAAGTCCCAGTTCATCTCGTGTCTTATATTAGCTGCTAGAAAGAAGCAATCTGTTTGATACCATCAAGCTCAAAGCCCAAGTTATACAAACAATCATATGACTCGTGACTTTTAATCCCATATTCCTTTTAGGACTAAATAACTACATTGTATTAGTAATAATATGTTCATTTCTCCTGTTTTGATAAGATCCAATTGCTTACAGCATCAAACCGAAAGGGATAACAAACTTAAAAGTGAAATTGTTTTTATAAATAACTGGAGAACAGGATGTTTTTATTACTGAAGATTGTTTTAAGATGAAAGTGAAATAGTATTTATAAAATACAGTATAAAAAATTAAATAACTGGAGAACAGGATGTTTTATAAAAGATGACTTTTTCCCCAGGACTTTTTTCCTATGACTTTTTCCACTCTTTTTCCTATGACTTTTTTTCCGATCACCTACGAGTAAATATCAAGCTTGAAATTAGAAGATCAACCCTGAAAACTCAAACTAAATTTGATATCAATAAATATCCACATTAGATCAATGACAAATTAGCAAATTATATTCAAACAGTTTCATGTAATCAATATTTTCCTCACCATTACGCTAATTAAATATACACGTAAAGGGACACTGATCCAGAGCAATTCCCCGGGACTGGTTGTTGCACATTGTACCCATGTGGGGAATCGTACCCGGGCCTTCGGCGTGACGAGCCAGCGCTTTAACCACTAGGCTACCCCTGCACAGCCCTGCATTTTGGAACTTCATAAAATGTACACGATCTGTTTTAGCAAATTTATTACATGAATGTAATATATAGACTTTTATTGACTGCCTATGTGATTCATATTTCAAATACAAGCCCTAAGTGCGATCTAGTGTATGTTGTCTGTCTTACAGACCTTCACGGCGAAAAAAATGAAGTGGAACGATTCTGTTGGATGCTGCAAGAAAAGAATATATACAAAATTAAAACCGACTAAAGTTATAGCAATAACCTCAGGCCGTTACCTTGAATGTATCTATCAATATCCGCATAAAGGAACCATATGCCATTCATCTGCATCTGACAAAGAAACCTGTTCCATGTCACGTGTCAAATATGCAAACAATGTATAAATCGTTATAACTGGTAAGGAACGTTTTTTTTATGGATAGACAACTTCTTTATTGCTGACTGACTGACTGAGTTTGGTTTTACGCCGCTTTTAGCAATATTTCAGCAACATCACGGCGGGGGACACCAGAAATGGGCTTAACACACTGTACCCATGTGGGGATTCGAACCCGGGTCTTCGTCGTGACGAGCCAACGCTTTGACCACTAGGCTACCCCACCGCCCCCTTCTTTATTGTAATCGATGGGACGTTTCGGTGTAGATTCTGATGGGGGGTTCCCGTTTTGCCGGACGATTTTGTTCTAGATAAAAATTCACTGATGCGCGATAATCCTTAAACAATAGGGGATTAACTTATAGTCATTTTCGGCTATATGTACACACTATAACTTCATCTCGATGTTTTCTATTCAGCAATTCAACATTTTTTGTGTATTTTCTCTTCATGATGAAATTCATAAATACACATTTCGTACATCTTCAGAAAATGAGAAAATGGTAACTGAAGACATATAAATAAATCTGCATAAATATTTTTCCATAAATATACATAAAGATTTTTGTTCATAAATATACACAAATAATAATTATTCCAACACAGGGACACCAACTAGGTCTGAGACAAGATCCCCTTGAATTTGGAATGAACTGAATTTTGCAATGAGGGAACCATGTCTACATTCTTTAAATACAGGCACAATAGCAGAAATAATCATTTGAATAAGTTTCACTCAATTTAGCTGATATAATTCGTGTTCACTCAAATTAGTTACTAGAAATCGAGTTCTCCCAAAACAAATTGGTGCCTTGTAATTATTGAGTTCGAACTTTGCCAATCGCTCATGTCCCCCAAATGAGACTATGGCCATAGGTGACAACTACTCACTGAAAACAGACAATAGCCAGCAAACTAGCGGACCGTTACTCCTAATCCGTGATCATCACATCAGCTGTCCGGCAAAGTGGGGTATGACCATTCTGATACTGTCAGCAAATCAGCTTCTAAATGCCACTCAAAGAAGTAATTATAACTAGTGATAGTTTCTCTAATTAATCAATCAACGTGTTATCGGTTAATCCTTTGGTCGGTGTTATTATTTTTAACTCAGCTGACAATTCCTTTGCTGCACTTCCTTGCGCATATTACATAACATGTAATACATACATCAGACCTTAATCTATAATGTTGAGCATTTACTCCAAACACGAGAAATGCCAAATGGGAACCTTTGTCGGGAAATCTGAGTGCTATTACTACTAATTATACCTGTTATAAATTCATTAACTGCCCATCAAGTGAATGATGACAAACAAACAGGTGTACGTTTGTATCACCTAACATGGGTAACATCAAGAGAGTAGTAATCGCTGTATTGTATACAATTTCAATTGCTTAAAAACGCTAAGAGGTCGACGCTGTTTTTGAGGATATGGACGGAACTTCATTGTTGCATAAGAAGTACAGCATTTGCTGTGTTGTAAAGTTTAAAAAATGCATACACCTACTGACGTAAGTAATTATTTTGCATTTTTCTAGCAATGGCAAAGTGAGTTTGATTAAGTTTACGGATTCAAACTGATGAAATGTGTGTTTTTCATATAATTGGCGACCCGTGAAGGTTCGGGTTAGAATATTGATCTTCAGTAACCCATGCTTGTCGTAAGAGCCGACTTACGGGATCGGGTGGTCAGGCTCGCTGACTTGGATGACACATGTCCTCGGTTCCCAATTGCGCAGATCGATGCTGATGCTGTTGATCACTGGATTGTCTGGTCCAGACTCGATTATTTACAGACCGCAGCCATATAGCTGGAATATGGCTGAGTGCGGCATAAAACTAAACTCACTCACTCATATAATAGGCTTATCTAGCGGCTAGACGAAGTTATAAAATGATTGGCGGGAAACATGAGTCGCTGTGGATCAGTGCCCCTTTAATATATTGTCTCATTTAATGGGGGCTCCCTCTCACTCTGTATGATACACTTGAACTTGTATTGCCCCCTTATTGTTTATGGTGTAATAACGATTTGGACCAAGATGAATGCAACCACAGCGGGGAGACAAGAACTTCTACAAAACTACCTATATTGTCAACAGACTATGCCGAACGTCGCTTGTACTGGACGGACGCTATACGTGACAGAGTGAGCAGCTGCGACATGGACGGTGGTGACCGCAGAGTGGTCATCAGAATGCCAGGTCCTCCAGATGAACGCATGTTTGCTATAACGATATTTCAGGTGAGACATGACCTACAGCTGCCCAAAACAATATGTCGGGAGATATCAGATCTAACTAAACACAGATTCTCTATAACGATATAGCAGCTGAGACAGGCTTACATCTTTGCCCTATAATAATGTAGGATGTAAGATATGACCTACTAGGGTTGCCCTATAACAACATATCAGGTGAGACATGACCTACCAGTGTTGCCCTATAGGAACATATCAGGTGAGACATGACCTACTAGTGTTGCCCTATAACATAGCAGGTGAGACATGACCTACTAGTCTTGTCCTATAACTATATCAGGTGAGACATGACCTTCTAGTGTTGCCCTATAAAAATATATAGGTGAAACATGACCTACTAGTGTTGCCCTATAATATATCAGGTGAGACATGACCTACTAGTCTTGTCCTATAACTATATCAGGTGAGACATGACCTACCAGTGTTGCCCTATAAGAATATGTCAGGTGAGATTTGACCTACTGGTGTTACAGAATTATTTTCTGTCTAACCATAGTACAAGTCTAACATAACCTCTCACTGACTATCCACATATACAAGGTATTATTACACTTGAAACATTGTTACACAACAAATAACACTGACACACGAGACTATACAAAATGTGGTTTAAGGCAACTTGGTGCATAGCAATACGGTATATAAGAACGTGCTGCTTATGATGGTGGTGGTGGTGGTGGTGGTGTTGATACAGATGTTGCTACTCCTTCCAGGACTTCCTCTACTGGAGCGACTTGAGATCATCAACTCTTAGAAAGGTCAACAAGAGGTCGAGGGAGGCCGTTGAAGTCATCAACACTGGGAGAGGAAGGCCCTACGATGTCAAAGTGTACCACACTGACCGACAACCAGAAGGTGATACTTTTACATCTATGAAGCAACATACACTCAAACATCGTTGTGCCAAACTTTGATGTGTCGAGCTTATGGTTGTGTCGAAGTAAAAACCCGGTCCTTTCGTATTCGTTCATTAGGCATATATTTTCGGTTGTGTCGAACTAAGGTGTATTTACGTAAGTAACTTCGACAGAATGGTGTTTCACTGTGTATCGAAAACATTCTCTGTAAGTACTTGGACAAAATGGTGTTTCACTGTGTATCGAAAACATTCTCTGTAAGTATTGCTTGGTACGAAGCCAGGTCCCTGACCCACAGTGTTTCACTGTGTATCGAACATATTCTCTGTAAGTATTGCTTGGTACGCCAAGGTCTTGACCAACAGTATTTTACTGTGTATCGAAAATATTATCTGCAAGTATTGCTTGGTACGACGCCAAGGTCTTGACCCACAGTGTTTTACTGTGTATCGGAAATATTCTCCATAAGTGAGGTGAGGTGAGGTGAAATTGGGTTTAACGTCGTGCTTTTAAATATTTCGCCCATATGATGACGTGCATGCGTGTGTATGTGTATGTGCGGCTGCTTGTACTAGCCCAGACAGAAGCTGGTTTTATAGTGCTAGCCCACTGAAATGCCATGCCGCAGTGAAGCATGAATACCCCACTCAGACACATTATACTGACTCCGAGACGACCAGTCCTTGTTATACCCATTAAAGCCGAGCGCCTGGCAGAAACCAACAAGTAGCATATTTTAACGTCTTTTGTTAAGACGCGGTCGGGGATCGAACCCGCGACCTTCCGCTCTCCGGGCGGACGCTCTAACCACTACACAACGGAGACGGTCTCTCCATAAATATTGCTTGGTACGAAGCCAGGGCCCAGATCCACAAAGCATTCGTAACGTTACGACCTGTCGTAAATCTATATTTTATCATTGGATTACGAATGTCGCAGCGCTACGAAGGTTCAGTGGAGCGGTACAGAGATCACTAACTATCCGCACCGGTGTGTCTGTAAGCTTGGCTAAAGTTGAAATAATGCAGTTCACGGACAATACTACGCGCATTTTAGTCAGAGTATACATTTTGGTTCACAGCATCGAACGCATGTGGTGACAACGACGGAGGATGCTCACATCTGTGTCTGCCGTCGCCTCATCAGACGTCACAGTCTACAAGCTTCTTATGTAAATGCCCGGATGATCGGCGTTACCAGCTGTCGTCGGATGACAGGACGTGCTTTACCGATGGTATGTTGACTACATTGATTCAACAGAACCGAAGTTAGCAAGACACCTGCCTGTCAGTGAAGCTCGGGCTGCTGTGAAACAAGTTAAGCTGATATTTAGATTCAAATTGATTGATATTGTAGTGGGTGAGTTTAGTTTTAGCAATATTCCAGCTATATCACGGCGGGGAACATCAGAAATGGACTTAACAGATTGTACCCATGTGGGGAATCGAACCCGAGTCTTCAGCATGAGGTGTGACCATTTTAGCCACTAGGCTGCCCACCGCCTGACTGAGGGATAATATAAACTTAACCTTTGCACCGATGAAGTCGTTTACATATTGCTTGTGATTACATGTTAGAGTCACGCTTTTCTCTCAGTCTATTCTAGCAATATGAATAATGTGGTCGAGGTGTTATGAATGCCACAAACAATCTCCTTTATTCGACTGATGAGATACACTGTGTGTAATGTAATGAAGGACAGACTGACTGACTGAGTATGGTTTTACGCCGCTTTTAGCAATATTCCAGCAACATCACGGCGGGGGACACCAGAAATGGGCTTCACTCATTGTACCCATGTGGGGATTCGAACCCGGGTCTTCGGCGTGACGAGCCAACGCTTTAACCACTAGGCTACCCCGCCGCCCCAAGGAAGGACAGATCTGAACGACACCAGTCAGGTGTTGCGCCAGCTCTGACATCATACTTCACGTGATTTGATCTCATCACTGGTCATCCGGGTTAGAATTAGTCTTCAGCAACCCATGCTTGTCGTAATAGGTGACTAACGGGATCGGTTGGTCGGGCTCGCTAATCACCATTGACACACGTCATCGTATCCCAGTGCTAATGTTATCAATCACAGGCTCGATTGTTTACAGACGGCCGTCATATAGTTGAGGGGGCGGTGGGGGTAGCCTAGTGGTTAAAGCGTTCACGCCAAAGACCCGGGTTCTATTCCCCACATGGATACAATGTGTGAAGTATATTTCTGGTGTCCCTCGTCCTGGAATATTGCTAAAAGCAGCATAAAACCAAACTCACTCACTCACTCATATAGCTGAGTGCGGCGTAAAACAACAAACAACACATGTCATCCACTTACAGTGCACTCTGTCTAATTCGGACCGGCTTGGGACCGACTAACAAGTCCAAATTAGACAGCAGTCCGAGGTACACAGATTGTAATGGAGTTATGAAACACATATTACAACTAACTTTGAGCTGCATGATTATCTCAATAATAGTTTACATATTAGTGTTAATCGCATCAAAGGTAAATAAGCGTATATATTTGTATTATTTCAGACTTGTAACAAGACGACTCCTGGGCAACCTGAAGTGAAGACGAAGAGGCCGAACCGTAACACCCTCTTCAAGAACGGAGGCAGTGGGGTAGCCTAGTGGTTAAAGCTTCCGCTCGTCACGCTGAAGATCCGGGTTCGATTCCCCACATGGGTACAATGTGTGAAGCCCATTTCTGGTGTCCCCTGTCGTGATATTGCTGGAATATTGATAAAAGCTGCTTAAAACCAGTCACACACTCACTCTTCAAGAAAGAAAATCTTCCATCAGTATCGATGTTTTTCTATATAAATGCACACTTGCCAGCAAAATGGCGTACAACATCTACAAAATATATCCTGATTCACTTAAATCTACCCTAGATTGGACAATGGTTTTAATAAATTATGAACCAATGATTCATGTTACGTCCATCAGTATCGATATCTTTCTATAAACATGCACACTTGCCAGCATAACATATCTTGATTCACTTAGATCTACCCTAGTTTGGAATATGGTTTTAATAAATTATGAACCACCGTCAGATGTTTTTTAAAGGTACAGTCAAATTGATTTTGATATTTACATATTCATGAGAGTTAAAAATCTGAACCATATTTGCCACATATTCAAATGTAACTTCATTGATCAAGAGTGGCCATCCACCCGATTCTCCAAAGTTATTTTTTGTCATTAACAGAGGTCGCCATGGAATTTAAATTTATGCGTTCCTAAAACAATTGAGAGAGTGAAGTGTTTTGGACATGAAACAGCAACATTTTAAATTCATTTGAGTTAAACTAATTAACAGGTTAATGATATTGCTGGTGTGGGTTCAGTTATTGCAAAATTCAGGTTTCCGATCGATTCACAAAACCTTCGTAGCGTAACGAGATATCGTAACTGTATAGTATATCATAGGCTCACGAATGACTTATTAGCGCTGCGGGAGTTTTGTGAATCGGGTCCATGGCCCCTGCCTGCTGGTTTCAATCAAATACAGAAGACTAAGATAAAACAAAACGCAATGTTTTTTTATCTCTAATAAGTAAGATCTGTTGATATCTAATCTAAGTATAGTAGTGTTGGGAATTGGTTAAAATCTCATAATTGATGATTGGTTTATTACAACCGATCAATCATCGAAAAAAATTGGTTAGCGTCATTAATGAAATTTCTTAATGCACATAAAAATAAGGAAAAAACATGTAGTTCTTTTGTTTTTGGGGCAAAATTTCACATCTTTAAAGGATGACTGGTATGTCAGGAACATAAATGTCTTGGAGTCTTTAAGATAAATTGAATCATGACTTGAAACGAGCTCGTAGTGCTTATGAAATGTAACAGACAAAACCAACCTTGTGAAAAATATTGTTTATGAAAACAAGTGTTTCAGAATTGTTTGTGTTCGATTATGAGAAAACATGATCGATTGCTTGGTCGTTTAGTCACTACGACCAATCTTCGATTATTTCAATTAATCGGACCACCACTAAAGTAGAGTGATCTAAATTGCCGGATACCCTACTACCTTTCACCTTACTAGCTGAAAACAATGGCAGAAACACTGCCAACTTAGGACGACTTGACATACCAGGGAAACTTGAGAGCACCTGCTGTGGAGTTCGCTAACATCCAGTCAAACCACAGCCATAACTATTAAGTTGTGTAGTGTGACAAGCATTCCGGGGAGCGATAATACCTACCGAATCTTCATCCTCAATAAGGTATCCAAGGTTACCAATAGAGACTTGGTGCTCATCGATGTCACTTTCAAAACTCAAATCCTTTATAATTTTGTTTTATTTCTAAATTGATATTCATTACTTGATAATGCATGTAATATGTATGTAGAATCCACATAACGTATGCAGATACTTCTATACACATCCCAGTAAATTATCAAGATCATTTTCATTTGAAAAATAAAGGTGACATATACTATTCCAAAAATGAAACGCATAACCAACAAATCTGAAGCGAAAATGTTGCATTTTCAAACATGTGTAACTCGTCCACAAATAGACTTGAGGAAATGAATCTTTGCATCAGTTTAGAAGAAGGAAATGTCAATACAACCAAGTGGATAATGTTAGATAACGGGGACGTTGAGCGCCATGGTGACGACGCAGCACGGGCCCGATGTCGGATCTCCTTGCTCTCAGTCTAATGTCTCTCAACCTGTTCTGTACAGTTTGACCGGATATCCACGATCATGCAAATGTAGTACCCGAATGTACCGATCTTGGGCTACAGTGGTGACTCGATGTCTGCCTGTACGGGGGAGGGTCATTAGTTATGCCTGTTTGGTTGTTGTAAGCCGTGATATCGTGCTCAGACTAACATGCAGACGTCTGGCAACAGAGGACTGGTAATCTCCAGCGTGCATTCTTTCAATGGCGATGTTCCGTGTCGCAGCGTCAAGACGTGGCGTAGTGATTTGACCTTGAAACTCCTTCAAAACAAATGCCGATTTCCGAAAGTAATCTGGATTTTTATAGCCAGACAGTGCATGCTCTTTGCTGCACAATTTCAACTGGAAGGTGATTTCTGTTGCGTTGTGGCAATGCCTTTTTAATCCTCGTAAGAAATCTCATCAAAATCAACATTTTCAGGTAAAGTCGATTTTTTACTTGTGCAATTGTGTAAAATCATGTTATCAACACTTTTGTTACATAATTTGACGATTGTTTGACCCCAATAGGTAATTAATATATAGATTTTAAAAAGTACGAAACGCTTTGCGTTTCTTTTTTTAGATAGTATATTAACCATGTGACAATTGCATTAGTTGTATCGTCAGTTTACGTATCCTGTAAGAACACATGTGCAATTACATTTTAATCGAGTCTCGGGAAACAATGAATATTTTAGAAAGTATCGAACAAACAGTTAACAGAGGGGAACAAGAAACTATCCCGCTCAGTTGATTGAATAACCGGACACATGAATTTTTTTAAACAAAACGCAACATTTTCAAATTTTGAAAATGTACAAAATACACCTGCATAATACATAACTATTGATATTCGAAGGCAATCCAGGGAAACTTTCACCCCCATTTACCTGCTTCTGGACGCTACAGATAATCCTATTATCCTGGTTTCAGCTTGCTTTGTATGATAGTGTTTTGGGGTTAATGCACACGTGAAACCTGATATGAAAGACCATTATGGTAAGTGACCAAATCTGATTGCTAGATGTAATATATTACACAATACTTATCGTTCGGAAACATGATACACATGGTCAATATGCATGTGCAGAGACAGAATCTCACTTGTTACCAGACTGGAAGTCAATGCGTGTCGATATGATATATGCACTTTTACGTCACGACAAGAGGTAGGTGTCTCGTGAATATACTTTCAATTGCTTTGTGAGTTGATGCACCCTTCGCTGAACCTCCATTTCAGCTGTAATCCAGTTACTTTCAGAACTACATACGTTAGCAATTCCTCTGACCTGGTGATCTTGGAGTCTTGATGCCTTGGAGTCTTGGAGTAGTAGACCTGGAACACTGATGCCTAGTGATAATAGGAAAAGCGTGTTTGCCCCATATTCAAACCTACAATATCATAATTGTTGGCTCCACTATACATTGATAAACACAATCCCATCACGATTCCAGGCAATCAAGAATGAACATCCAAACATCAAAGTAGCTTCTTGCTATTAACAGAGGTCCCCATGCATCCATTTCAGCTCTGACCCTGTTACATGTAGTTTGAGAAACACTCCCTATGTCACACATTAGCAGTTCCTATTACCTGGCTGTCTTACCTGTGTGAGTAGTAACCCAGGAACATGGGCTGCCCAGATGCTGCCTAGCATAAATAATAGCCATATTAACATATTATACTTCAATCCCCAAGTATACAAAAGATGTAGATCTCGCTAGTTCCAAAGAAAGATGCTTTGTTATTACTGGTATCAAAACTCATTAAAGTTATTTCAACATCCAGAGAATTTGAAAAAGCAACCCTACGTTTTGGTCACACCCTGGTCAGGCATTATCCAGTCCTGGAACAGAATAACTTACAAAAATCTCAGTTGACTTTTCATGTAATGGAATAAATATTGAAACATATCTTTAACCCAGATTTGATGTAATTTTTTTTATAAATCATCAGTTTTTGAGGAGGTTATTAATATTTGAAGACTGAGTCAAAGCTAGTGTTTATTAAGATGTTGGTTTTGGACATATTGTTCAAGGTTTGTTGATGGTTATTTGGAAAATGAGCTTCATATTAAATTGCACACTGGTTTGTAGGAGGTGAACGCTTTTCATGTGTGTTTTCCTAACCTTTTGGTATTGACTTTTACCAAATTTTGAATCAAACTTACTATAATATTTATGACACTAGTAAGTATCTCAGAAAAGGAAATAGATCAAAATTTAGAAATGTCCTCTAGGGATGTAATCTCAGATCTAATAGAACAAAGATTATCATTGTTTAAGAAGCAATAATGTCAATATGTAATTGTATTGACAAAAAGCTTTGAACTTGGATATATTCTTTGCACCTCATTTACACTAGTAGGTATCAGTTAAATATCTCTGATGGAAAATAACAATATACATGTATTTGTATTTTGTGTAACAATCTATTTCAATGCTAGTTAATTGTTCGGATAACTGTGGATCCTCTGTTCAAAGATTTTGCATCACAGGTTTCCTATTTCTGGAAGATGGGTCTGCTAGTGTACAGGTGCAGACTGTGTCTTGGATCTTCTTTGTTTTCTGGTGCTGTGACATACCTGTACATAAACGCTGGCAGTTCATGAAGTCCAGTATTGTGGAAGTTTGTATGTAAGTTAGGATTCCACAACAAACTACATACATTGTATAGAAAATTAAAATGGAAAGGATGATTTAAAAAATGGATTTTCGATATATTCAGTCAGTATCACTTTAAGATGGTGTACAGATTTTGAAGAGGGAAAATTTGCTGAGAATTGCTGTAGATCAGCTGCTGAATATTTGCTTCTGGGTATGTCGAGAGTACATCCATGGAAACATACTGTTTACAAGCCAAATCGCATTTTCCAGATTTCCAAATAAGATCAAATAAGTTATGCGCTGTGACTGATTTGTTTACATTAATTATATACAGACAAATAAGGTGCACGAAGTAGTAGATGGGAAATATTTTCTGCTTTTTATTTACCATTCATT